GCTAGGATTACAGGCGTGAGCCACCGCGCCCGGCCCCACCTCATCCCTTTTTAGCATCCTGTGAAATAGTGTTTTGTTTCTGTGGTTTGGGAATTTTTGACTGTATATTTCAGGTGCTTAGAAAGTGTTAGAAGATACTTGCAGATATTTGAAGTGATGGCCTTGTGCTTGGCCCTCTGCCCTTTGGAGAGATGACTAAAGTAAGGAGTTGCCTTCAAGGAATTGCTTTGTGATCAGAGGAAACAAAATGAATTCACATGCAACAGCAGTAGGTCATAATACACTGTCCTTGTTCATTGCCATGCCGTAGACCGCAGGTGGAATGAGTAGAAATTCAGGGATTGGAGGGCATTGGGCTTTGGGTATTTGTGTTTGCCCAGCAATGTTCTGGATGATGGTGCAGGACTCTTAGTTTGAGGAATAGTGCTGGCTGGTAGAGAATTAGCATACCATGAGAAGTAATCATTGATAGCATGAATGGAGGCAGAAATAGGTTGAGAACTGCTGGGGTGGGGGTGGAGGGGTCGAAGGAGGAAATAGAAGTGCCAGGAAAAGAGACCAAAGAACAGTGGTTAAAGGCAAAAGAGTTCTAAGGTAATATATTGCCTCGGACAGAGTATAGAAGTAGAAAAAGATTATTCATGTTTAATACTGCAGGGTGAAGTTGATTGGATTTGGTTATGAAGAATTCTTTAGAGAAATTGCACATATGAAGGCAGAGAGGCGTGAGTTTGTGTTCCGAAGGAGGGCTGCAAGTAATATTAGCGAGAAGAGGGAGTACTGTGGGACTGAGGTCCCCTGGGAGTGTTGGAAAGTAGAGTTCTAGAGCTGTGGTTCCTGACCTGTAAGCTGTGAAATTGTTACACGGTGTTAATTGCTTGATTCATACTCGAAGCACTGTCTGTAATATGAATGAAAATTGTTCTAGATCATTGAATAATAAAAGATTAACCCACTGTTATGTAGGAGCCTCAGAATATTTTGATGTTAACAAAAGGGTTCTGTATTTGCAAAGTTGGAGAATCACTCAAGTTTATAAGAGTTACAAGTAGGAGAGCCTAGCTTCAGAGAGTAATATGTGGAGTATGTCTCTCTTTTTCGAACTTATAAGGAAGGACGAGAAGTATATATGGTGTTATACTGTTGAAGATGAAACTTCAGTTCTATAAAGTGAGAATCTACCAAAAATGTGAAAGAAGCCTGGAAGAGAGAAATGGGGATTTGAGAGTAGTGTGTGTTCTAGACTCTAAAATAAAATAATATCTGGGGGAAGTTGAAAGTTAGACAAGTGATGGATTAACAGGATTGGTCAGCATTTGAGAGGGCCCATCTGAAAGTGAACTGAAATGGATGGATGAGTTCTACATGGCTCTCACAGCTCGATGTAGAGGTGCTCAGAGACATAGGAGTACGAGCACAGTGGGCCCAGAGGGACTGACTTGGCAGGATGGTGAAAAATTGTGGTCTGATGTGAATGGTCAGGGAGAAGTGAGGGAGATTTAGTATTTGAAGGTTTATAAGCAGGAAGTGAATGCTTTTATCTTGAGAAAAATGATGACATAGGTAGCCTGTGAGAGACTGTATAATTAGAGATATTAGGACTTAAACAGTGCTTTGAGCTCCACAATGTTAAATGTGCAAGAGAGGTGTCATGGAGCCCCTTCCAGTGGCAATAGATAATTAACGACAGAGCAGGGGAGACATGAACCAGAATTTTGTAAATAGGAAAACAGTGTAAAGCAACTAAAAACACACACACATAATTGAAATCTTCATTGTGTCCCTCTGTATTTTATAATTTTTTCTTTGTGCTTTTAGGATTATAGAAAATGTATCTCAAGTACTAATAACACTTCATCTTTTAAATGAATCTTACATGTAGAATGTGACTCCATAATTACAGTATTGAATATTTTTATGACAAGCATCTAGTTGATGTGTATAGTTTAATTGCAACATTGTTAGTAATTGCAAAGAGTTAGAAAAATCTCAATAGGGAAATGCTTATATAACATAGGATAAATCTGTTGTAGATTAGTATGTAGCCATTAAGTAGAATAAGGTAGGTATGTATGTACTGACATAGAAAGATCCCCAGCATCTTAAAGAAAAAAGTACAGGCTGGGCACAGTGGCTCATGCCTGTAATCCCAGCACTTTGGGAGGCTGAGGCAGGAGGATCATTTGAGGTAAGGAGTTTGAGATCAGCCTGGGCAACATAGCAAGACCCTGTCTCTACAAAAGAAAAGAAAAGAAAAAGGTACAGAATGATAT